GCCAACCGAGCCGGGCTGACACCGATATTTCTTTACAGAGATTAATCAACAGCTGAAACGGGCTACTGGAAAGGATTTGTAGAGGTTAGCATTGATGGACGAACAAGTCCTGTGCTTCAATGGGGGACATTGCTGGAGAATAGCGACAACCCATGTTGGCTTCCTTTAAAGTTCGTTGAAACGTATGATGGTACCCTGTTTAAATTGCCAAATGCAGCTAAAATGGGAGACTGGGATTTTAGGGAGCGGTTGCGGTTGCGTACTGATCATTTTTTCAATTAAATACCGAAATCCGATCGCATTTCTCTATGGCGCAGGTTGAAGAAGCTCCCCCCACCCCCCGTTCCCCCGTCCCCCGTCCCCCACCCCACGCTCAGCGCATTTCGCGTCGTGGAGACGTCTCAAAGTGCTTCGCAGAATTTTAACGGCAAGTGTCATGACTGGGTGCATTGGTAGGCCAGCCCAGCAGCCTATTTGCAGCGAGCAACAGCCATTAAGTGAGCTGCCAATTTTATTATTTGTGGGGCGGTGGGGGGGGGGGGATTGTCAGCCGGGACGTGCACATGCTATCGAGCGCTCTGAGACACACCACCCGTTGCAGAGGGCGCCATATAAATATACGTTGTCATAATGCAAATGGCATTATCATCCAGTCCTGAAAGCAGTACCCACAAGAGGGAGACAAAGTCTAATCAATAAGATTTATCGGGTTCAGTTGGCATTTCGATAGAGAAGTTAGGATTCCAGGCTTCTCCACTACATCAGTTTGGAGGAACACGGAGGTTGCTGTGTGCTCTGCCAAATCAATCGTTTGAATTAAAGGGGAGACTTGTCCTGAGATCCCTTCGGGACAAGAATACTTGGTCGACATGACAGCCAAAGGAAAAAGAAAACCTTTGCATTTGATAAAACGCCTTTCACGTCAAAGCATTCGCCTTCAAGAATAGCGATCGAGCCCCTGTTATCAGCCCAGCGGTCAGTTTGCACGCGGCGAGTTGTAACGGCAATATGTATTTGGGATTTTTTTTCCCCCTTTCGTTTTAAAGAGAGATTTAGACACAAGAGCCGGTGGTTATAAATATTTGAGATTGACTTGCTCTTTATTACTCTTACTGCCTTTCCGTCCCGGGGAAATGTGCGCGGAAAACATTTAACCAGTATTGGGAAGGAAAGGTTAATAACCAACCGAACAGAGCTCGGTTTAACATCTCTGAAGGACAGCACCTCAGAAAATGGAGCATCCTGCGCCCCCCCCCCACAACCCCACCACCCACCAGCACTGTCAGCTTAGACGATGTGAGTTCAAGTCCTGATGATGTAGAGACTTGAACCCACAACCTGCTGACTCAGAGGCGAGCGCACTACCACTGCGTCAGGCTGACAAACCACCCAAGAGAGCAGTAGTACTCAATCTCATACCATTTAATTCCACGCAGTTTTAATATGTAGTGTATTGTCATCCATGATGGTCTTACCCTTCGCGCGGGAGGTGGTGAAGGACGCAGAGCTCACCACGGGCAGCGTTTATCTCCTCGAGCGAGGGTTGGAGTGGAGAGGGGGGGGAAAAAAAAGAGGCTTAAAAATAGTCCCCAACTTAGATCCCTCGTTTGTTCTTTATCCGTGTTTTTGTTTAAAAAAAAGTTTAGCGTTCTATATTATAAGGCACTGTGCATCCAACGCTTATCAGGCATTACAGACACCCAATTTAGAAGGGCTTATCCATAGTAACTCAGCAAAGGGTTGTTAGCAATGGCAACAGGAAACCTCGGCAGGTCAATAAGGATCAATGGTCCCTAAAAATATTTGGGGAGGGAAATGTATCCTAACAGAAACCCCCTCAATTCACAGCGTAGGCTGCATAGGTCAGTCTCCTGACTGAAAGGTCCTTAGTGGGATCAGAGGTAAAAACTGTTGTATTGAACGCCAAAAGTTCAATGGACTCTGGTTCTATCAAAAGGGCTGGTTTTCTTTAGGGGGGAGGAGAGAGAGGGGGGTGGGTGGGTGGCGGAGGATGAGAGGAGGGGTACGTAAAACGGTTGGTTAAGATAAAATAACTCTCATCGCGGGTCACTTCAGTTCCATCTGGCTTTTTTTTAGGCAAAGGTTTTCTGCGCTTAAGAGAATGGTGAATGGCGCTTAAAACCACCGTTGAGACAGAGTATGAAGGTCTGGGGTCAGTTTCAGATACGTCAGTTTAGACCAGCGAGCAGTAGTCACTGCATGCGTCCTCCCCTCTGGGCACCGCGCTAGATAGTCTTACGCCTTGGTGTCCCTCGGTTTCCCATAGTCCTGGAGTCTGCATTATCTTCTCCACCACTTCTTCGAACGCACACTGGACTCCGTCGCATGTTTTAGCGCTGGACTCTGTGTGAGCGGGAGGGAGGGAGGGAGGGAGGGGGGAGAGGGGAAGAGGGAGAGCGGTAGCGAGGCACAAGATTCAACTGAGAAATTGCAAGCTCAGAAACGAGCGTCAAAGCCAGCACAATGTTCCCAATTATCCACCTCGTCTGCGACCTCCCCCCCCCCCCGCCCCCCACCCCCATTCGCACACCCATCCACACCCCCACATTCGCACACTTGCCCACACCCGTCCACAATCCCACTCGCACACCCGCCCGGACCCTACAACGCACCGCTTACCTATAAAAAGCATGGAATGTTTTCTGGCAAATCTCAGCCCTTCGTTTCGGTCGATCTCCCGATCTTGCTGCAAGCATTCGTCGAGAGAGAGAAAAAAAAAAATAAAAGTTGTTCTAAGCAACATTGCAGTGGAATGAACGGTCGCAAACCCGTCCCAAAGGTTTACATGACGACGGCGATAGCAGTAACAACAATATGAAGCAAACTTTTAATCTTTAAATGATCATTCGTTTGAAACGGAAACGGTAAAACGCCGCGATCTCTCGACGCCCGTTACCTTGTCGATTTTATTGCCGACCAACATCTTAACAATCTCGTATTTTGTGCTGTACGTTTCCAACTCGTTCAGCCAGTTCTGAAGTTTTGTGAAGGTTTCCCTTTGGGTCACGTCGTACACTGCAACAAATAGGCTGGAATTACACCTTTGCTCCCCCAACGTGACAATGGCTTACATTTATTTACTCTCAGCCCTCCTGCCTTTCGTGTCAGGAGAGAGTCTCAAAGCACTTTACGCAACTGGTTGGTTGGTTGGGGATGTGCACTTGGAAAAGGCCGGGTTTTAAAATCGACAAATGATAACCAGGCAGTTCAACCATCAATAATAATAATAATCCTCGCATTTGATATAGCGCCTTATCACGTCGTTGAGACTTTCACTGTTAAGCGACTGTATTTTGTGGATGAAACATTAAGCATCCTATTTATGTCAAGGTCATTATCTTTTTTATATCCTCACGTATCCTTCGCACGAGCGACTCAAATCATTGTTGGTTTTGGTGAGCTGAGCCTGCTTTAACGGAATCGCCCGTTAACGACTCACTCCATAAACGAGGGCTGCGTGAACGTAAACTGTCGATTGCTGCTCTCGCTCAGCGCTGCACCGATGAAACTCGTAGAGTTCAGCTCAAGTTCCATTCACAAAACCAAACCAAACAGGCTCCCCTAACCCCCCACCCCTTTGCCGTTCAGTCACACGCCTCAAAAACCTGCTCCTTTACCTAGAATAACCCCCTGGGCACCTCTGTAGTAACTGGGCGTTAGTGTTCGGAAGCGTTCCTGACCCGCTGTGTCCTACGGGGAAAGGAAATCGAGATTTGATCAATGTTTTCGAATCGGGCGACAGCATCTTTAAAGTCCGCCTGGAACAGGCGCACGAGGACGGGAGCTCTCGTTAACCTCTCATCCGAACCACGGCGTCTCTGGCAACGTAGTGCTCTCTCCCTCCGCGCCCCCCACCGCCCCCGCCGCCCGAGCACTGGAACGCCAGCCTAGATTGCGAGCACAAGGTTTCCCCCCGACATGGGAGACTCAAGGGGTGGGTGGGGTTGTTGGTAGAAGGAGGACAGGAAGGGAACGCTGGCGTGCAGTGATAAATGAAGAGTACCGGTCGGCTTTGCTTGCTGAATTATGTATGTAGCCATAATGGTTACAGCACTTTCGAAGCCAACTACGCATTGGAAGCAGCTGACTGTACATCACGCACGGCTGGCAGTTCACCTGAACTCACCCAGATTGCAAGCTTGACGTTGTTTCCATCGACCCTCAAGTTCTTCACCTTAAAGTCAACCCCTGACAGAGAGAGCGAGAGAGAGAGAGAGAGAGAGAGAACAGCGTTAACTCCGAAACACGCGCAAGTAAAAACACCTCTTCGAACAAAGCAAGTCAGAACTGAGGTCAGGAAGCATTTGATCCGCACGGAAGGTTATGGCGTACTGTAGAGCAGTGGTTAGCGCGATCAATTAGCCGGGGTTCAATACCCGGGCGTAAGAAACCTTAGGTGAGTTTCCTGACTCCACACGCCTCTGTTTACCCAGCAATAAGTCCAAACCCAGTTGTTAGTCGATTTTGTGGAACGTTTTCCGGGGGGGTTGGGGGGGGGGAGGGGGTAATCAGCCCTCACCCCCAAAAAAAATACACTCCATGACTGTTTGTGGGTCCACTTCCGAGCGCAAATTGGCTGCCGTGTTTCGCCCACAAAATACACAGTCCGTCCACTTTGCAACCTATCCTGTAAAGTGCTTTGAATGTCTCAATAAGGAAATATGGCACCGTATCAAATGCAAGTATTATTACTAAGAGAGAACTGGACAGGTATCCGGGGAAGACGGGTTTGCAGGGTTATGGGGAGAAAGCTGGTGATTGGGGTTAGTGAAAGTGACGCTCTGTCAAAGAGCCGCACTGACTCGATGGGCCGAATGGCCTCCTTCTGTGAATCTATGAAAATCTATTATTATTTACCATTAAGATGCTCTGGCCAGAAAGCTATAGAGATGGGGACGCTTGAGAGAGAGAGAGAGACAGACAGACAGACAGACAGACAGACAGACAGACACTTGCAACGCAGGAGAAATAATGAAAGGTGGGATAATAAAATCTGACAGGGATTTTCATGAAGTGGCGGAACAGGCCCTGATGGGCTGAATGACCACCTCCTGCTCCTTAAAGAGTTGTGTAGGGGTGGGGGGTCTGTTGGGCTGGTGGGGTGGGGCACAGCTGGCAGCAACACAGATTCTCTTTGAGGCAGCTTACCGATGGTGGCACCGATCTTAAGGTCGAACGTGCCATCCGTGAATCTCAGTAGAAGGCTGAAAGGCAGAAAGAATACGGGAGGATCTGCAGTGACCGATTAACGAGCGGCAAATGTCGTAACCCCTTTTGAAGGAAGGGTGCAATTTGCTGCTCTTTCAAGAATAAAAAGCTTTTCAAAATCCTTCCTCCTATATCTATCTATAGATCTGTATCTTCCTCCTTCAAGTCCTGACCTTGCCATCAGTCACCCACCCCTCCCTTCTCCTCCCCCCCACCCCATGACCCCAGCTCGGGTCGGAAAAGCTGTACGCTGTCTTGGGACGTCCTCCGGATTGTGAAAGGCGCTTATACAAATGTAATCTTGTTGTCGTTGTTGTGCCGAACGCAGATTTACACGGAAATTTAAGCTGGAATTGAGTGTGGTTCGTTGCCGTCTCGGCAAGTGTACAAGGGTGTCAGTCTGGCTTCGTCGGAAGCACTCAACAACTAAGCAACTAAATTATATTCGCATCGCTCCGGATAGTAATCCCTCCTCTAATAATAACCCCTCCAAAAAAAATAAATAAATAAATTGGTCATTTTCAACCCACGACTGTTTGTGGGACGCTGCTGTGCGCGATTGGCCGCCGCGTTTCGCCCACAAACATACAGTCTATTCTGTGAAGCGCTGTGAGACGTCGAGAAGACGTGAAAAGCGCTATATCAAATGCAAGGATTATTATTATTATTATTATTATTATTATTGTATTGTTATAGTCAGTAGGAGGGCGACCGAAGGCACGGTCGAAGAGGAGGTGGTCTTGGGACGGGTCTTGAGGGAGGCGAGGGGGAGGGCGAAGGCGACGGCGGGAGGGACCGAGGGACGGAGTTCCAGAGGGCGGGGGCAGAGACTGATCGCCGATAAGTGTCCCGGAGCGTTCGAGTCAGAGAGTTGCAGGTTCCGACAAGACGCTGCAGCAAATTGCAAAGGATTATCAATCTTATTATTATTCAAGACTGAAGGCGCAAACAGTTAAAGAGTTTGGTGCCTTATGAAGTCATCGCTGAGCGCCATTGTCACAGAGTTTTATGGCTACGATAGAATTCGGAGCCCTTCGTGTTAGGGCCAGTGACTCGCCTTTATATCGCGCCTTTCGTTAAACGCGCATCGTTTTATTTATTTTGCGACCTCCTCCCACCAAACACCTACCACACACCCCCCCCCCACCCCCACACCCCCCTCCACACACACACAAATCCACAACAAGACCAGATCTGGAGATCGCGGAGTCAGACGATGAGCTCAGCCCATGTCCGTACACCCAGCGACTGACTTAAGAGGTGACGAGCGCACTAACTGTTTGCGTGCGTGGGTGGGTGGGGGGGGGGGGGGGGTGGGTGGGGGGGGTGGGGGTGGGTGCGGGGAGGGGGTGAACGCTGCCGTGTGCAATCGGCTGCCGTGTTGCGCCCACACAAGACACACACGGTCGCTCCACCTGACGGTACATTCTGCGAAGCGCTTTGAGGCGTCTCGACGACGCGATAAGGCGCTGTGTCAAATGTGAGGGTTATTATTATTATTTTCATTATTGCGGAGACCCGTTTGATATTTCCCCCACACTCTCCCCACCCGCCGCCCCCCCACCCCCACCCGCCCCCCCTACTCTGTAGCCTAAAGGAAAGCGCCCCATTTGACAGGTCTATCCTTTGTGAAACACTTTGAGATTCAAAGGCAGACATTGTTGAATGCGGAACTGCTTTTACACCCAATAACATTTGTCGAATCAAATCACACGCGAACTATTTTTTTTGTTTGAAAAACTTTTTGGAAAACTCACCAAAATGTTTGGACCCTTTATTGTGTCTTTGAAGCAACAGGAAGTTGAGTGCGAAACAAACTTTGAAACAGGCTACAAAGTACTGAAATAAAACACTGAACAACTCCCCCAACACACACACACACAGAGACACACAGAGACACACACACAGACACACAGAGACACACACACCACACAGACACACACACACACACACACACACACACAGACACACACACACACAGACACACACACACACACGAGACACACACAGACACACACACACACAGACACACACACAGACACACAGAGAACACACACACACAGACACACACACACACACATACACAGAGACACACACACAGACACACAGAGACACACACACCACACAGACACACACACACACACATACACACAGACACATACACACAGACACACACACACAGAGACACACACACACACACAGACACACACAGACACACACACACACAGACACACACACAGACACACAGAGACACACACACCACACAGACAC